GACATGTGGAGAGAAGTAGATAGAGGGAGGACGTATGTGGACATGTGGAGAGAGGTAGAGAGAGGGGGAGGACGTATGGGGACATGTGGAGAGAGGTAGAGAGATGGAGGACGTATGTGGACTGGTAGAGAGAGGGGGAGGACGTATGGGGACATGTGGAGAGAGGTAGAGAGATGGAGGACGTATGTGGACTGGTAGAGAGAGGGGGAGGACGTATGGGGACATGTGGAGAGAGGTAGAGAGATGGAGGACGTATGTGGACTTGTGGAGAGAGGGAGGACGTATGGGGACATGTGGAGAGAGGTAGAGAGATGGAGGACGTATGTGGACTTGTGGAGAGAGGGAGGACGTATGGGGACATGTGGAGAGAGGTAGAGCGAGAAAGGAAAGACGTATAGTGACATGTGGAGAGAGGTAGAGAGAGGGAGGACGTATGGGGAAATGTGGCGAAAGGTAGAGAGAGAGGGAGGAGGTATGGGACCATGTGGAGAGAGGTAGGGAGAGGCAAGACAGATAGAGGAAATGTAGAGGGAGGCAGGAAGATGCGAGGACAGATGGGGAAATGTAGAGGGAGGCAGGAAGATGCGGGGACAGATGGGGAAATGTGGAGAAAGTGAGAGATGCAGGACTGGTGGGGAAATGTGGAGGAAGTTAGGGAGAGGCGGGGCAGATGGGGATGTGCGGAGAAGGGCAAAAAAGCGGACGGAGATGGGAAAATGTAGAGAGAGTTAGGGAGCGACAATGGCAGTTGGAGAGAGGTAGAGAGAGACATAGACAGATGGGGACATGTGTATATAACAGCAGAGATAGAGAGGGAGAGAAAAAGATAGAGAGAGATAGAGAGTGTATATGCGGAAAGAGGTAGAGAAAGGTATATAGTACAGGCAAGAAGAAGTCGAAAAAACACGAGAGTCATGGGCAGATAGGTAGATAGAACAGGGGTGGTGCCGTATCTGTTCTCATGCTGGTACTATGCCGCTTGAAATGTCGCCCCCGTGTGCGCCCGACGTTCGGGAAGGGACGGTGCGTAATGATCGCACGTCCTTCAGCGAACGAACGAAAAATATAACAAACCAAAACTGAAAATAATGACCTGGGATCCAGAGCGCGCCCATATATATGGTTCGTTGTATAGTCTGGCAGTGCATATAGAGCGCTTAGTACGCGAACTGATGCGGTTCGTTACGATAACAGAGCGTGCCTAATTTCCTCTCGTTTATGATAAATGTGAAATAAAATATTCATGCTCGCTAAAAAAAACACGTTTTCGGGAACGCAGCTGCTTTAGACTCGCGAATGCATCCAGGCGCGCGCTTCTCTCTCTCTCTCTCTCTCTCTCTCTCCTCCTCTTCTTCTCTCTCTCTTCTCTATCTATATATATATATATATATATATATATTATTTTATTATTATATATATATCGCTCGTCGTCTCTCTCTCTCTCTCTCTCTCTCTCTCTCTCTCTCTCGCTCTCTATCTAGCTATCACGCGCGCGCTATCG